AGCACAGTTCTACAGTTTGACTGTTACTACCTACCTTTGGTTTCCTTTCTGCACACCCATTTTTAGCATCCATGACAGAAATACCCACAAGCCTTTTTCCACAATAGTGTTACTTCTGCTTAAAAGCTTTTTAACTTTTCAACAAGTCCCAGTAATGTCACATGGACCATTCATGGGTTGAAAAGTGCCATTCAACACATACAAGGAAGCAGAAGCTGATTTTATCATAAGCAGTTTGATTATAATGAAAATCAAACTGCTTGGTACGTGACCCTATAAAGTGACTGCCCAAGAACACCTACCTTCCTTATGTCCTCTAAACTCTCCCCATTAACCATGCTTGCCACTTTGGGAGCCGCTGTCCCAGTCCCAGATGCTTCCCTAATTGATGCATTCTTCTGGTCCCCCTGCTGCTGTTGCTGCCTCTGTTGGTACTTGAGCATCTCTGGATTCTCAATAATGGTGGTAGACAACTGAGCTTCAGTCATTATAGCTAGGCTTTTGCCATAGGTGGACTGATGAATGTTGCTCTGTGGGCATCAAACATATCACACAGAAGAGTGACTACGACTGTGTCCCGGGTTCAGCGCTGAAACCACAACAGACTGCTACCATGATGTCGCTGACTGTGTATGATAGCATCATAATACTGTAATGGAACCCATAAAATGCAAATGCCCTCTTTATCATTTATACATTTATATTTTAAACACTACTTTATATTTTCACCTAATGCTAAATCAATACACAAAATAATTGGAATTCAAAACTTTAGTTGCTAAATAGCAATGAGAGGAAAAAACAGCCAACAGCAATCAGTTTAAAAAGACTTGAACATATGCAAGTCAAAGAGTAATTTTAAAGTGTTTTGAAGCACCCACTCCCTGTTTCCTTGGCCAAATAATTACTTCAACTGTATAATGATGTGTAAGCAGGTGATGTTTTCCAAATAGACTTTCTTTCCAGAATAGAAACTAATACCACAGATTCATTTCTTGACTACTCTTTATTAACGATTTGTAAAGTACACAAGAACACATTTTTCTGTAATATGGAAATCAGTCACTACATACTTCTATAAATAGTTCAGTATCTTAATTGCATCAATACATCCCTTAAATATGATCACAGAATCTCTGAGTGCTTACTGTACCTTTTCCTCCTCACTGAGTGGATCTCCAAGTTCATCCTGGGAAAAGTCCAAAAATGCCACTGATCCATCCATGGAACACACCAGGATACCAAGTCCATTAAGGGTCCTGAAGGAAATACAGGTTCATTTTTATTTTCAGTCTCTTTCATTGATGCAAAGGGGCAATACAATAAATTGTTCAACAAAATTCTTAGTATAAGATTTATTATCACAGCAACTACTGATAAAACCAAACAAGTGGGGCAGTAAAGAGACAGAATGATGGACAGCAGCAGTCCATGTACCAATATTCCTTTGGAGGCCACACGCAAAAAGGTAGAAGCAGAACCATACAGCTGTCCATGGCATGACTAGCACCATGAAAACCTGTCTGTAGGGGTAAAACAGAATAGTGTTCACAGGGAACAGTGAAAGGAAACTATAAATGTATTTGCTTCAAAAGATGTAGAATATCTTTGTGTTAATGGAACTGGGTGAAGAAAGGGGCCTTCAGCAGATAAGCAATCAATATACTTCTTTAAAGGCCCCATAAACTGACGTTTGGGGCCCATGAAGATGAAGCTTCATCACACATAGGCAACAAGTTACAGACAGCCCACTATAAAGAGTTTACAGTCCAAATAAACAAGATAGGAAGGAGAAGTGAGACTGCAGAAGCAGCAGCTCTACAAGTTGGGTAAATGCCTCTTCTCCATCATCATTATCTGAAGTGACAGCAATAAGAAAGCAAGCTGTGCATATGAGCAGTCCAAACAACTCTGTTAGGCGAGAACATATGTTTGATTTTGTTATTGTTCATTATTTGCATTTTTAAGCAAACTGCACATGTTCTTCTATGTGAAGATATATTATAACCCTCATCTGGAGGTCTCAAAATGTTTTCCTGATGGAAAAGAGAAAGGAGAAACTATACATTCTAGTCTTAAAGAAATGATAACCTTCTGTTAAAACCTATCACTGCACATTTGAAAAAAAAACCCAGTACTTCCTGAGTTTTGACCAATAACCCCATAACTTCCAGTTACAGAGCTCATAGAGATGGCAACACAGTGGTATACAGATGACTTGTTAAAGAGAATGGAAAAGGAAGGGAAGCAGGCACAACTCTTAAGTCCTGTACAAACTAGTCCGGCAAGGCTTAAAAATATATTCCATGCATCATGGCTATAGGTGTTTGAAAACACCTTTTTTTTGTGTGCTGGCTGATGGCACCACATCCAGAGAAGCTGGCCTCAGCACCATGTGACAGGTTAACCGATACTAGTCCAAGTTAGAAAATGGTAAAATCTTGTTGAGAGTTCTCTGCTTGCTTTGCAGACAAAATTGCTGAGCTCCTATTGACCTCTGGCTCCAAGCAATTGTTCCATGAAAACATAATCATGTTCAGATATTATGATGATGCATCCAAGTCTGAAACTCTAAAATAGAAATGAGACAGCTATAACAATAGTATCAGATTTCTCTGCATTTACTCAGTTTGTTTTCAGAATGGAGCATGTTTCTGGGAACATTCCATATTACTGACATCTTAGCCATCCATTTCAATTTGTAAACAGGATATAAAATAAGTTTCCTGATGATCCTTTGTCTCTCAAATATCCTACAGAACCATTTCCTCAGAAATTGCAAAATGTTAACCAGCTATTACTGCCAATGGCTTTACACCACGAAAAATGCACAAACTGCAGATGGAAAAATAAAATAAAACACATTACAGAAAGGCAAAGCTATTCAAAGCTATTGTACTACAACAATAGCAGCGCTTCTCATGAAATATTCCATTTACTGGCTTTCTAGCCTTAATCTATTAATGAAAGAAAAATATTTTGGTTTTGAAAACTTTTTATCATGCTTCACTGAGCTTCATGGCAAACCCCACAGGGCACACAGAAAACAAGTTGTTATACAATTGTAAGCTTTAACATTTACAGCATAAACCCACCAAAACTGTTAAAGCTCTTAAGACCACCCATGTCATCAGCTGCGTGTCTGTCATGAAAAAAATACTAGTCTTTTCTTGTACAGAATCCTTAACCATGTAAATCACCTGACGTATAGGTTCACAGTGTGTTTTTAATGCCACTTACTGAGTGGTCTCAGGGTTATTTCTCCCTTACTATTTACTTGCAGTGAATATGCAGTCTATAACTAGAGACTTCTGCCTTTTTATGACCAGGCCTTAGGAAGAAAGCAGGAGGGAGTACCACTAACAGCAGAAAGAGGAAAACAAGATACGTGACAGCAGACTGCTGGGAAAGTGGGTTGTCCAACCCAACCCAAATCACTAGCTAAAGCTACAGTCTATACTGTTTTAAGGAATTTCCAGTCCATACATATACCTAAAGATGATAGCAACACACTGGCTTCTCTAACAAACAGCAGAAATCAACTTACCAGGAGATGTCCATGATAGACTTGTCAAACAGCTCATGAATGACAACTAACGGGCGTTTCAGACATGTGAGCTTGAAACAGAAAAAACAACACTCAGAAATGTTAAGTTCTATGCTACAGATATTACCACATTAACACTCTCTTAGAGTCTAACAACATTCAAACAAGGCACTGGAATAGGTTGCCCAGGGAGGTTGTGAATGCTCCATCCCTGGCAGTGTTCAAGGCCAGGTTGGAAGAAGCCTTGGGTGACATGGTTTAGTGTGAAGTGTCCCTGCCCATGGCAGGGGGGTTGGAACTGGATGATCTTAAGGTCCTTTCCAGCCCTAACGATTCTATGATTCTAAGACCTGGCCAGGAGACAGCTGTATGCCTTGTGGTCTTTCTGAAGCACCTAGTTACCCATTCCATTACAGGCACAGAAAAGCTTTGGAGAATAGCAGCTGACATTCAACCCTCACCTCCTTTCTGAAACACGGACTGAATTTCTTAACCAATTTTGCCTTTACATCACAGTAATAGAACACTCTCTACCACTTAAAAAGTAATTTCACAGATGCTAAAGACAGCTTCTATTCTAAGCTTTAATGAGATAAGAATGTTGTAAACTGCCAGCACAAGAGGAAGATGGAAAACAGATTAGGTTTCCATGTCCTCACTCAGACTCACTTGTCTAAATAAGTGAAGCCTATCAAGAGCAAAGGGAATTTGACTCACCATTATTCTTAAAGAGGATTCCTCTCTACTTATAAATCAGCTTAGAAAGAACTGAATATGAAAATCCCCAGTAACCTGTTCTAAATCATTCTAAGCTCTTTAATGTTAAACCAAAGGTCTTGAAATCTATAGTACATAGTACAACTGAAATAAAGCAGAAGACAATGTGGTATAGGATGTTTCATGCTCAAAGGTTCACGGATGTAGTGTAGCAGTCACCTTCAGTAGTTATTTCTTTTACACTTCCATAGGTCTGTGTAACAATTAAGGTCTTCAGGGCAAAGACTGCCTGCAACTTTGCATCTCTATAATACATAGTATAACCTCAAAAGTCACCCTAAATGACATGATAGTATAAATAGAAAATAAAAAATACTGAGATTGATACTTTGATAAGGGTATGCACTGGTAGCATTGCCAGAAACACTTAGTGTTGTGCATTTAGCGATTAATGGATAAATATCACACTGGAACCTATAAATAGTAGACTGCAGTTAGCAATTGGTGTGTTCTGGCACATTCTCATCACAAAGCTTTACAAATCAGTTAAATTTATTCCCTGTCCTTTCCAGTTGCCAAACAACCGTCTTGCATTTCTAAGTGTTGGAATAGCTACTCTTCTCTTAGCCAGAATAACAATTTTAGTGTAAATTTTACAGTAAAACCCAAACTAGATATTGAGAACTCAAAAATATACTTAAAAAGCTCATTCACTTTCATATTCCTCTTTCAACAGCAAAAACAGAAGCCAGGAAATGAAGTCAGAACAAAGCAGAAAGATGAGCTGCTCAGAAGCAGCTATCCTGTGCTTGCTATGTTCTCCTCATACCCATAAAAGCAAGACTAACAAAGGTAGACTCTAAGAGTGATTAACGAATAGGTGGGCTAAATGTGGAGAAACAGTACTCTTAAAAGACTCATATGGAGAATGAGTAAAAGACACAGGAAGAAAATAGGGTGGAATTATGTTTATTAACTGAGGTAACATGATTTCTCTTAACAGCTCCCCCCAACCCCTCACCAGGGCAACATATTCTGCCACTTGTCTCGGCTTTAGAGAAATGAACTAACACCAACCCACTTCCTCTCCCCCTGGATAATCCTGTAACAACAGGGAGAAAAACCCCTAAACATTAACCTAAAGATAAGACCTAATGCTGCACATGTGGCCTTTGTGCTAAACCCCAAAGTTATCCAAATAACCACATTATTTCAAGGGTGGCAAAAAACCCACTTACCCAGACAGAAAGAGAACGATCCTTACTACCAACAGCACAACAGCAGTAGGGACAACTCGACTTGGTGGAGCTCCCATTCTTTTGTTTCTTCTTGAAGATTTTCGGATTGAATTTCTGCACCAATGAGATGCCCCAAATATTATTACAGTAATTGCATTTTAGTAGATCTGCTTTAAGAGCAAGTTTCTCACTTAGGAGCGAAAAAAAACACTTTTCATAGAAGCAAAGTCCTTAACCAGACTATGAGAGCACTGACAAAAAGCACATCTGCTTTCTGAAGAGGCTTTCTGAATGCCTTGACAGGAATAGTAAGTAGTAATAATTTTACTAGCAATAGGAAGCCACTAGAAACCTAAGTCACTTTATTCAAGTCACTGAACAGCTAACCAAGCTAGTGTGGTTAGCTACTAATGTGCTCCTGCACCCTCACCCTCTTTGTTCATCTACGCCCAGTTCTCTTATCACAAAAGCAAACTGATTGCTTCCAACATGTAAAGTTGACACTTTTGCATCACTACCATGGGTTTGCTTTACTAATCTTGACACCTACCTTCACCCCTTGTCCCATTTATGCATAGAATTATCAAAAGTTTTACTTCAGGGATAAATTACTATCACTCACTCACCACTACTGTAACTGCCTTCCGATGCCCTACAAAATCCATGTTGGTTTTCCATCCATCTCTCTCAATGATCTGAGCAGTAGGTCCAGAATTATTCATGGCATGAGCAGAAACAAGATAGTGACCATCAGGTGACCAGCTAAGTCGCAACACATGAGTTGTCCCTCCACACTGACAAAAAAAAAAACCCAAACCAAATAAGAATTAGAGCTTTAAAAGTGGCAAACAAAAGATGTTTAATACAAGCTGTTCAAGTTTTAGATTTAGGGAATATGATTACAAAGTCAGTCTTCTGTGACTATAAAAGCATATCATTACATACAATTCTCAGTACTTCAGCTGTATTTTGTACAGGTGATGTAGTGTGTCTTATGAAGCCCTACCAAAAAGGGGAAAAAGGAACCCAGAGAACTTTTTAAAGGAAAAAAAACATACGTCTTTTTGGATACTGCACACTCAGAGCCTTAATTAGTGACAGGGCTGCAGCATACCGACTGCTAACAGTGAGACTTCAACTTGCAACACCAGCTCACACATGAATTTAGGCATTTACACTCTATACTAAGAGTAACTGCACTAATCACAATACCATAGATCACTGCAAAACACTCCACTCACTAAGCACCAACTTTTGTGCCCAGAAATTTAATCTCTTGATCAAAGTCATCACGTAACAGCCCTGTGATGCCAGACCAAAGATCCCTCCTAAATACTTGTTTCTGACAGTGGCCAAGAGAAGATGCATAACGAAGAAGGTAAGAACAGTGTACTTAGTGTGCCGCTATTTCCTTGGAATAACCTTTGCATTTCCAGGAATTTACTTAATTGTTTACATAACCCAAATAAACCTTTGACATCCGCAACATCCAATGGCAATGAGAGTCTCACTTTAATCACGTGTGAGAAGGCAGCTCTTTTTCTCCCCTTCAGAACCTGTCATCTGATAGTTTCATTCAATTCAGCACCGTTAAATCAGTTAATGTTTGTGCAGAATCAGAGATATTCTTATCACTTTTGTTCATTCTGTAGGAATTCACTTTGAACAGTCACACATCCTGGAGTACCTCATCAAAGGGTTTTGTGATGCTGGTTTCCAACTGCCAGTCCATGGTCCGCCACACCTTCAAACTTCGATCATCAGCCTGAGAGGCAATGTATTTCCCAACAGGATCCCAGGTCAGCCCTTTCACCAAGCCAGAATGCCCCTTCAAAGTGGCAAGAATTTCTGTGCACACAAACATGGAGAACAGAGAATAGTTACTGATATCTCCTTTATGACAAACTGCTGAGGAGATCTACAAGATCCTTTGGAAACTTCCTTTAATGTACAAACAACAACATAAGGACTGCAAAGTTCTTTATAAGAAACAGATCAGAGCAGAAACACCAGCAGAACCCCAGGTGTTCAGAATAGCACTTGCAAGCTATGGAAAGCAGCAGTTTAACTGGAACTTCAGTTAAACATTCATTCTCTCCCCCGCACCCAAAGATTATCACAACAAATTCAGCTTTGCGCAGCAAATGTGATCTAAGCCAAAGTTGTAGCTGAACAGACATACAAGCCTGGCAGACCTGGTAACCTGCTTTCAGTCAATCTCTTCCTTATCAGACTACAAGAGATGAGGCTGCGAGTACTGCACAAGCTACACAGCTAGCATGAATGTCTAAAAACCCTGGTATCTGGATTGGAAGCAACACTAAAACATAACACAGTGACCAGGCACCACAGAATGGGAGTTTCAGCCTGCATCAGGTTACGTGGTGAGAAGCAGCCAGATAAAAGCACATGCTCCCTAACTGCCACAGACCCTCACAGGTCAGCTGAAGCTGTCCAGTGTGCCGACTGCTTATCCCTGAGAAACAGACTTTGGGACTGTGTGACCTGCTAGCACTGCAGCAATGGAAGAAGGAAAATGGACATCAAATGTAAGCCTTGGGAGCTCCTGCTACTGTGAGGCTCCGCTAGTCCTTCCCTTCACCCTTTAAAGTCCCACTGCTTATTAAGCAGCAGCAGTTAAAATGCGGTTAATAAAATAACACCACCCCAAAGGTGAATGAATGTAAAGTCTTGTGAGTACAAAGGCAACAGGGAAAAAAAAACCAACCATATATGCATATATAGATGTATTATCAAGCTCAAGTTCTATCTATTTGGGATTTTTTTGGGGAAAAGGTAAAAGAGAAAATACACGTGACAACGTTCACGTAAAATCAGCAACCTGAATGTAGCTGCTGTCTACAGCAGAGTGGCATCCACTGCTCATTGCCATCAAACTTGGAAGGAGGACTGGGTCACCAGGTTGCAAGAACGTCATCTCAAAAGACAGCCCATTCCCACCTGCTGATTTTCACAGTCAGTGAAAAGCACCCATGGGGCAAAGAGTTTAGCACAAATCTGTACATATTGCACATCTGAAACGTAAAAATTCTCACCTGGGAATTTGACAGCGTTCCAGATGACAACAGTGTTATCCACACTACAGGATGCCAGCCAGGCATCATGCGGAGACCACGCTACATCCATGACATCTGTTTACAAAAAGTTTTCATTTAAGACATTGATGGTAACCAGAGAATCCCCAAAATCTCTTAAAAGAACTGGTGTGGCAACTTCTTTTCAATCACTGAGAACTTAGGATTCCACTCGTGTGGAAGGTAAGAAAGAACACAGCAGCACTCGCTGGGAGGGAGCTCTTTTTTACAGCGCCCAATGGGGAGCAACAACAACAAAATCCAGGGCAGAGAATGCAAGGTTTAGTGATGACAGGAAGTACTAATGCCTGTATAAAGTACTTTGTCTTGTTCTGAACAGAAAAGCAACAGCAGCTGTTGCAGTGCACTCACTTTATTCCAACACACGTGGAGTGATGAAAGTGATTTTAATCTTTATTTTAATCGCAGCTCACATCAGCAGGTGCAAAACACATTTGAAATCTGGTTTATTCATCTTTTGCAGTGCTCTTCAGTTTTACTTTTTCTTAAATAAATACTACTATTCTTTGGGTTACAAAAGTTTGTGTTTTGCTAACCAGGAAGTTACTCACTGCAAGTGTGAACATTTATTGAAATAAAAATGCAGTTTAGCTTCCGTTATTCAGATTTATTTTTAAGCTACCAAACAGCAAAATGTAAGTTCCTTAGCTGGTAATTTTTCTACTACAGTAGTTGCTGGAAGTTTTCTGCTACTTTGCCTGAAGTGACTTGTATGAAAATCAGCATTTGATTAAAAATGCCATTTTCTTTTAGATTTTCATTGATGCTTTTAGAAGTAGTGTCTGAGTTGCCACCAAATACGTACTTTTTGAGGAAAAACTGAAAAGGTTCTTTTTTTTTCCCTCCCAAATACATGCAAATTATGTTCATTCAACACCTTTTAACTTACCCCCTGAATGGCTTCTGAGAATCGATACACACCTCCACTGCTCAACATTAGTAAGTTTGCTACTAGAACCAAACACAGTGCTAGGTCCAATGTACCTAATTAAAAAAGAGAAAGTTAACAACAGAACAACCTCAAGTTCTTCAAACTTTCTTGCTAAAGAAAATCAGATGCACAGTACACTTCTTTTTTACATTTATTCCTGCAATGAAAACTGAAGGGAAAAAACTCTTTTTTTTAACAGAAAGGAATTCCAGTTATTAAAAATCAGCTTCAATAAACCGTACAATTTCTACAAATAGTAAAAAAAAATTAGCATTTAAGATAACTCTTCAAATCTCATCAGGAAGCTTTCTTCAAGTACAGAAGAAAATGCCTCAGCTCCTTGGCAGAAGAGAGACTGCCCAGGTAGACACACTCCAGCCCAAGAGACAGGACATCAAATCTCCCATACCAGGTTTTAGCCCCTTGTGCACCAGGAGAAGCAGTGAGCTTACGAAAGACCAGCACAGGGAAGAAACATTAAGAGATGCAACAGAGTAACCTACTTAAAATACAACATAAAATCAGGAAGGAAGAAATATGCTTACGCAGCTCGTTTCCACACCATAATCAACTTGTCATCTCCCCCTGAAGCCAAGTAAACTCCATTGTTTGACCATCGCACACAGTTCACACATGCTGAAATGTAGGAAAAAAAGTTTGTAAGATGAAATATGAGAATAAGTGGCTCAGGACTGGGGCAGAGTTTGAAATAACCAAAACTTGACAGGAAACGGTTAGGATTTAAGTGTGCTTTTTCCACTTGTAGTAGTTACGCTGCCTGCTTTAGATAAATGAATTAGTACTTATCTTTCAGCAGCAGTTGAGGAACTTATTTTAAAAGCCTACTCCTTATTTAAAAAAGCTTCACCAGAAGTAGCTCAAAAGAAGAAAGATTAATATTCATCTAACGAAGAAAACTGCTTGTGGTAACTGAGATAGGATTAAGAGGGCACAAAAGAGACGATGTATCTTGAAGATGATGCATCTTGAAGAAGGGACAGCTCTTCAGGTAACCATACTTCTTTCAAATGTAATGTGCAATGGATCCAGAATAATTTAGAACTACAACAAGACACTTCATATGAGATTTCTTTTATACTTATTTCTTCTCTTGCCCTTTCCTTCAGAGCTTCCCAGTTCCTCAGAATGTGCATTACAACTACTTGATGGCCACAGCTGGAAAAAGCTCACAGGGAGATTTCCAAAGGTAACTGTATTTCTCTGTGCAGTTTCCTACATTTCCCCAACATTTTCTGCTGCGCATCTAAACCAGTATACAAGCAAAGTATGAGACGACTCTGCTGTATGGTATTGATTCTTCACCACTGAACAGGGCATGACTGTTGTAAAACATGAAATGCTTAAAAAAGGTAAAACAAAAAAAGAATAATCTTTGTTACCTAAGTGATTGTCCATCTGACAAAGCATCTTGGGGATATTTTCATTCTTTTCATCTTCCTCTTTCAGGACAGGAGCCATATTCCAGATTACAACTTTCCCAGAATCCTGACCTGTAAGAGAACAAAAAGCCCACCCACCCCTTTTAAATACATACAAAAAGGTTTCTCAACCTAAACATCTGTTCTGAAACGGAGATAAAATTGAGGCATTACCAGAAGCATCTGAATACAGATGCCATTCAGATATAGTTACACCAAGCCAGAAGTGGTTTATTTTTCTTGAAGCTCTTAAAAGTTATACAGCCTTGTTCAAAACTCATACTGTGCACAACTGATAGCAACTGTAGGGATGAACTACTTATAATAAGATTGTATTTTAAAAAAGATAGATTCAAATCTGACATTGCAATTATTGTAGCCAACATAAAATTATTCACTATTGTGATCCACATAATATTTTTGCACCTATTTCTTAAGCTATTCCATTTATATAATTGGATTTTTTTGTCCCAGTAGTTCTAGTGTTTAGCAGGTCAAAAAGCCCCACTTCACATTCAGTTCCTCTTCAAAGAAGAAATTTGGCCAGTATAGCCACAAGTAATTACTGCAGCTTCTGTCTATCTCAACGATGTCCACAAGGATGAGCACATCAGAAAACACAACCCTGCCTTCTGCAGTAACAGCAGCACTTGCCAACACATTTTAATGACTTACACAATGATCTGTTTCTCAGAGATAAGTGATGTGTTTTTAAAAGGGTCAAACCCATTCAAGTGTTGTGAAGGCACAAGATTATTATTATAGCCCAAAATTCAAACTTCTGTCAGTATGCAAACACACCTTGTCCTCCTGTTGCAAACTTGGTCCCATCTGGATGAATGTCCACTGAAAATATTGGCTTTCCTGGAATTAGAGAACAAGCAGCAAACATGAATTGTTTTACAGCCAAGAGAATGCAGTAATGCCAAAAGAACCGTAACTCTTCTAGATGGCAAATAACTTCCTTCTTCTAAACACTACAGTTGTTAAGATTTACAGCTGACTATGAGTCGAAAGCAAGCTAATTACAGAAATGCCAGCCTATTAAAAGTTTATGGGAGTTATCAAGCCATAACAAACCAGTGATAACCAAGGACACTTAATCCAGCAGGATATGCCAAATGCCTCAAAGCTAAGTAACACCACAAAGCAAATGCCAACGAGGCAAAACTGATTTGAGTAAGGAATTCCTTCCAGGTTTCTACAGTTCGTTAGCTGATGACCTGAAGCAAGTTTTGTTCTGGTTTCTGGTTTTGTGTTTTTCAGTCCTCCCCAGTCTCAAAACTGCATCTCTTGGGCACACAATTACCTCAGATTCTGTTGCTATGAAACTCTTCTACCCAAATACTAGCTTCTATTTTTATAGCTTCCACACAGACAGAGGAAGACTAACCAACTCTAGTACTAACTCTTAAATCCTTCGGTTCTCCACATGTTACATCTTTAGAAGAAAACTAGTAATCTTCCAAAAATGTAAACTCTACAGCAAATAACTAATATAGCTGGGGAACAGCTCTGGAAACCAGACAACCCTCTCTAACCTATTCTGCTCCAACCACTGGATCACACGCTCTCCCTACAGGTTCGGTGTTCTTTTAACCTTTGCAGAAGGAGAAGGAAGAGGGGAGAAGTAAGCTTATTGCCCTTTCAGTGATGCTCAAAGAGCTACCACTAAGGATTACTTGAAGGAACACACGTGATTTCCACATTCAGATAATTTTTTGGCAGCAGTCCCAACCCTTTCAAAGTGGAATGCTTCTGCAAGCAAGATCACACATGTGCCAGTATAAAATAAGGCAGTTTATCTCAGGGCCAAAAGAACTGGTACCCGTATACCAGGGTTACTCAATAAATTTCCCTCTATCTCAACTCTTCATTGCGTCTTCACAATATGTTAAGACATAAAAAGATAAAACTTGGAGAATTTATCCAGTGATAGGTTTTAGCATCCAAATTCATTGATACTAAACTGCTAACAAAACCCCCATCCAAATATCCAGTATTTCTTACTTTTTGTGGGGTATGCATTTTGCTTCATGGCAACTTTGATTTTCTTTACGGTGACTTGCTCTAAGGTTTATTTTACTTGGATTTATACTAAAAGTGACATGTGATTCCCCTTAAAATTTCTACAGGCAGCCAAGCAAAGATCTTAAGCACAGTAAGATGGCACTCAACTTACATTCCTTCCAAGTCCTTTAGGCCACATAAAACACAACCTGAGACATAGCTGTGGCTTTTCTTCAGCTCGTTGTGCCAGTTCTATCTTTTGTACTGTATTAACTTGAATGCAACTGAAGACAGGGCTAAGCTGAATATTTAGAGAAGCACAGGCAAGAAACAAACATCTATCTTGCCCTTCCCAGTTGCTTTATAAACTCTCATAGCCTCTCCAGTTTCTGCCTTATCTTAAGAGCACAGAAGCTAGAGGAGCAGTAGCATCAGCTGTCTTTCTCCTTCCAGGCAGAGTGTTTGCACAGATCCACAAACAGGGTTGGTGAAATTTAGCAAGTTTATTTATGGAGCCAGCGGTAACTTAGCTACAAATTCACCATAAATGCTTAAAATCAGCCGCAACACAGCAGGGAAAATGTCCACCGAGCCCAGCACTCTGTGCACAGAAACCAGCACTGGGTATCTCCCTAAGCATGACAAGGACACAATGTTTCTTCCTAGGATAACTGCCCATCTCCAAAAGATTTCCGACTCCCACTTCTTGTATCAGAGGCCCTCAACAGGCTTTTCCACTATAAATTCAATCATTCACCCCTTTGCTGCTGCTCACAGCTCTACAAACGTTCATCATGTCTCCAGCTTCGCTCTCCCACTCTTGGCCCAAAGACTCCCACTCGGCCATGCCTTGTACAAAAGCTGTCTCTCGCTTTTGATCATTCTGGTCACTCCACTGTAAGCCTCCTTCAACTCTCCTGTATTTTATGAGACAGAGGGGAACTGTCTTTGAAGACAGTGCTCAAACACAATCATCCAGGTATTTCTGTAGCACGAGAAAGTTTTTAGTTATTTTCCTAGCACAGATTTGTTTTTTTTTGTCTAACAAACACTGAGCAGGTATTTTCTTAAATTATTATAACCCTAAAATCTCAGACCTCAGAGGAAGTTGTCAGGTCATGGGACATTATTTTATAGACGGTTTAAAAAGGGTATGGACTTTGCGCTTGGGAAAACTGGTAGTAATAAATGAAGCCCTCAACAACAAATCAAGTTTCCTGCATGGCTCAACTAGGAAGGGGATCCATGAACAATGACCTACCAGGAAACTTGGGCTTTTCACAGAATTTGCCAATAAGCTTAACATTCAATTACTTGTGAACATGAGGCCTGTCAAATTCATCTCCTGTAAGAGCCAAGTAAATATGGTTTCCATCTGAGGGATACTCCCTAATAAACTGGACTGGTTTCATACATCACAGTCTCACCAGCAGAATCCAGATGCATCCAGTGGTTAACCTTTAAAGACCTGCTTTTTCTCCCTAGAAACATTACTTTAGTAAATCAAGTTCCAGACTTCTAGGAGTTTGTACAGATAAGAGTCTTCCAGTTTTCATATACAGGAAATCTGTCAAAGTACACCCAGCCTCAACCTGTCACACCCTCTTTGTAATAAACATCTGCATTAATCCAAATGCAAACAACTGCAAAATGCCATGTTTTATTTATTCATGGAGGAACCCATGAACTTAAACTGACAATAGGAAACCAAAGAGGGAAGCAACTACTTAATGATCTTGCTCAAGACCACAAGGCATCAGGATTTGATTCCTGGCTCTGGCTGCAGTGACCTTTTGGTGAAGCCAAGTGTAGCAGCAGCCCTGTCTGGATGCCTGCAGGAAGCAGTAACTAGTGGATGTCAGAACCTGAGCTTCTATCTCTTCAGCTAAAATGACCACTTGCATCCATTTTTCAGGCAGCAGTAGTTACTGTGTGTTTCAGCACCGGGGACCTTAGAGACTCACGGTGATGTAATCCAGGCTAGAGAGCATCTGATTTGGACCCTTTGGCCAACGCTCAGAAAGGAGTTGTAGCTTCTCTATTTACTAGAAAGCAGCATTATCAACATCACAGAGAATTCAGTTCCTATCTAGCACAAACACTACACGAAGTTTCAAGTCAGTTCTGTCACATACTCATATTCACAAGCACGCAAATAGGTGAAACACCCGGAGTTCACAGCACAGGTTCAAAGTTTCAACATCAGCTACAAGAGGCATTTGAAGGCCAAAGCACCAGCTTGGAAAGGGGAATCTTCCCAGTGTCCTGCTCCAGAGCTGCAAGTGCTTCTCTTGGCTATTGAGAAACAGGGGGCTTGTTATGATTCAATTAGATTAGTAAAAAGGATCACTAGTAAAGCAACTGCTTGGGATCAGCTATCAACGCTTTCACAACCTAGAAGGAACGTATGTTTTCAATAAGTTTGCTCTCCACACTTTTCTGTCTACCCCTTACAACACAGAACAAGTTCCGTAATTATGAGATTGCTTGCCCAAGTAAACCAAGACTTAATACTTGTTTGCAGTTTTCTCCATCCAGGGATGTCAAATGATTACAAGAAGAGAACAGATTAAGTGATCACAGGACAGAAATTTAGCAAGACAAGGTCATTCCCAGGGTGCTCTTTCCTCCAGGGTACCATTATGAAGGCAATACCATTTACAGTAGAGGATAACTGTCACAGGTTAAAGCTGCAAGACTTGTTCCATACTCCTTGTGGTTCACAAACTGATCACAGACACTGTGTTCTTCCTTACTTCCATCATTTTCTCAAAGCAATGGAGGACGAGCTGTCCTTTGATAGCAACTGCCTCCCTCCTCGGTCCTCCTCGGACTTTGTTGTTAGATCCTGCTGAAACAAGCCAAAAGGCACAAGGTCCCTGTTTCAAAGAGGCTGAATGCTTTCCAATGCCCCAAACTGAAGATGTGTTCAATTTTCTAACAGTAATCATGTATCAAACCAAAATGTGATACTTAAGCAGGAACATTAAAACGGCATTTTGTCCTCTTGTAATAATAGCTAAAGAAACAAAAGAAAGTTTAAACTATGGAAGCTCCCAGCATCACATTGCATGAGGAAGCAAACCGGGTTCATTTAAAACAGAACACCTTATGATAGACCAGATGTCCTGTTGGATTATTTGTTTAAAGAAGCCAAATATGTATTATGTACTTAAAGAACTATCAATAATGAAAGAAGCCTGGAAGGAGAAGTTCCAAGTGAGGTAATTCAAACCCAAGAAGGTCCCATCTTTAAGAAAAGATACCAGCTGAAGAAAAAAAAAGGCTATTTTCAATATTGCATCTTTTTTTGCTTGTTATTTACCTTTAGGCAATAGTCAACAGAATATAAAGACAATTTCATGTTCATCCCTACCACAGGATGAATGACTTCCTATTCATTTTACTTCCAGCCTATCTGATATATAACATCCAACATGAGTCACAAATCAATTCAAATATTTACATTCCACCATTACAGCTTGGAGAGATAATAAACTCTGTGCTCATATTTAAACAAAAGCAGGCTCTGATTTCTACAAGTTGTTATACATGAACAGCACCTTGGGATTTGCCTGGGTTTCTGGGAATGTCAAGAGACCTCCTTTCCTGCAGGGCTCAGCATGTGCTTGTATTTGCCAGCTTTAATGACCTGGGCTTGCAAAACCCTGTGTGCCAAATACATACATACGACTGTTGGATACGTGATGCATCTTTAGAGAGGTGCTGAATGGAAAACTGGGAAGGAAAAGCAACGGCACCATCTGTATCTTAGTCATCTATTCCTGCCCCCACTATTAGATTGCATGTTTCAATGCTCTTCCTTGCTCTATGAAACGTGGAAGAGAAGGACACAGACATATGAGAGTTTCATGCAAAACCTAATAAACCCATATTAAGAGTGTGAAAAGCTTATGGAAAATGCATCTGAAGAAGAAACATTTCCAGTAAGTACTCAGATAAAGTGACATTAAGAACTCCAAGGCAAAAACCGGTAGGGCCAAAACGTGCTAAAGTGCTTTTACTGCAAATAGCATCTTGGGTGAGCAGCACATGGTTTGCAGGTGTACTGGATTTCCCAGCTATGACACTAACTTCCAGTATCTCATGGAGCTGTATGCCTGTAAGCATCATTAAACCCATTCTAGCCCATTCACTAAGGTAAAAACCCCAAAACTGAATGGGGAGAAGGGAAAGACAGCACCTTGACCTGGTGTGTGGGAGAAACTGTGAGGACTCTTGCTCACAAACCAACAGCAGCAAAGCAGCCTCTTGTGCCCGTGCAGAAAATAAAAGGAGTTTAAAAACTCCTTTTACACAGAACCACAGCGAGTCTCCAGGACACAGAGTGAATATAAATGATGTTTACCCTGTTTCTGGAGAGGTTTCGCAGCAAGCAGGTAGACCCATTAAGAGCAATGGAGACTCCTTGCCTGCAGCGATGCCCACAGGATCTGGAACCCAGGCACGTTAAAAGAGGCTGACTGAACTCCCCAGTTTTTATCCTGCACGCCCTGCCCCAGGGACAAGCACACATGAACGTTCTGCAGTCCTTGTAGGTTTGCAGACCTTAGAGCATTTTACAAATGAAGCTAGTGATGAACGTCTGTTTTGCAGGTGGTGAAACTGTGACAAAGTGACTTGCCCAAACTCATCCCAGCAGGACAGCAGCAGACATGGGAATAAAATCTGGGACCATCAAGGCCCTGGCTCACTCATTATCCACTAGGCAGAGTATCAAGGGCTTCGTAAATGGAGCTCCGCTGTGGGCTGCTTGGCTGAAGGCTGTCTTCTGCAGCGGTGAGATGCATTTTAAGTTGCTACTGATTTCAAACACGCACCCTCACCACACGGTGCACCCGCTAAAGAAATACAGAAAGAAGTTACAGATCTAATCCTTGTGACCTGCAAAGGTTCAGGTCAAAAGCATGCTCCCACTGGAGCTCCAGAGAGGCACAGGATCGTCTGCCCACAGGCAGGTGGAGGTTAACATGGAAATGTGACATTTGTTTAGATCAACCAAGCAGAAGGGTAGAAAACACCTGACATAAAGTACTTCCACCTTTTCCCAAGGTGACTAAAACCTTGTGTCAAAAGGCTGGGTCCATCTCCTGACTGTACAGTCCCTGTGGAGTAGTTCAAGTAGCGATGCATGTGAAATGCATCCCAAGGCTTAAATTACTGCTCTTAAAACCTGAAGCATGATTAAACAGGGGAAGTTTAGGTTGGATATAAGAAGGAAGTTCTTTCCTGTTAGGGTGGTGAGGCACTGGAACAGGTTGCCCAGGGAGGTTGTGAATGCTCCATCCCTGGCAGTGTTCAAGACCAGGTTGGACGAGGCCTTGGGTGATATGATTTAGCATAAGGTGTCCCTGCCCATGGCAGGGGGGATGGAACTAGATGATCTTAAGGTCCTTTCCAACCCTAACGATTCTATGATTCTATGATTACAAAGACATCAACACATGCAGAAAGGCAGCTGCAAAGCTGTATCTGCGGTTTTTAACTCAAAGCACACACTTGAATAAGGCGGTCTCTGGTCTGGTTTTATTGTAGAGGAGTTCAGCTGTTGACATTTATACCAGGGTGTAAGATTTGCAGTTCAAATAAAGCTGTACCCATGGATCCATGGACAAAACTTGCATCAACACAAGGCAGTTTTTCATGTTAGATTTATTCTCATGGCTTTGCCAGGAGCAGGACGATATTACACTGGAAAATTACCATAAGCACTGTAAATACAAAACACCGATGCTGTGCTGTGCTCACCACACCAGGAAAGCTCAGAGCTTTCTGTCTGCAGCGACACTTCATTCTGAGCGCCTCAGCTCACAACGCTGTTCAGAACCGCCCGAGTGGCGGGCAGGATACTACACAAATTCAGGGAGCTGTTTCACAAGCAGCATCAGCAGAATCTTTTCCGTCCATGGCGAACAACGCTGCAGCCTATTGCGGGGGGGGCTCTAACACTGAACTTGACTCAGTAACGCGGGACCACCGTGGCCATTGCAGCGCGCTGGCACGGGACATCCGTCCATCCACCATCCCACGGGGCACCTCGGTCGCTGCCCGACAGCCTCCGCTCTCTCACAGACCACGTTTGACCCAAACCACCCCTCTGTGCTCCCCCGCGGACGGAGCTGCCCAATGCTGCCGGCAGGTCCCAGCAGCGGCCGGGGCTGGCTGCGCCCCGCTCCGCCCCAGAGCGGACCTGTCCCCGCGGCCACCGCCAGCGCCGCTCCAACGGCCGCCGGCGCGGCACCCTCAGCCATCTTCCGGAGGACGGGCTCGGCCGAGCTCCGCACCCCGCGCATCCCACTCCTCTGCATCCCGGGGCGGTCTCGCACCTCTCCCGCTGTCCCCGCGCAACCCGGACGCCCGGGACCGAGGACTTGTTGCTCCCCGCTCCCGGCCGCCCCGCGGCACCTGCCCGCACCGCCCGCCGAAGCGGCGGGGCCCCGAGCACGCCGCGGCCGCCCGCAGCCTGCGGGGTGGCAGCTCCTGAACGGCCCCGCTGCCCCGGCCCGGCCACCGCTCGCCCGCGTTCCAACTCGCCCCCCACGTGTGCCGCGCCGCGCCCCTCCTCACCCACCGCCCCGGGTCGCCGACACCCCCCCCTCCGCGGCCCCGCTGCCCGGTACCCCGCCGCACCTGCCCGCCGGCCCCGCGGCACCTGCTGCCCGGCGGTGCGCCCGGCCCGCACTCACCATTGTGGTTGACCCAGGTCGGCTTCAGGAGCTTCATTGTTCCCCGCCCGGGGCCCCCGCCGGCCTCCGCCCTCGGGACCCCAGGGCGGCTCCACCCGGGCTGCCTCCGCGGCCGAGCGAGCGGCGGAGCTCAGCGGCCGCCGGCCACCATGGGCCCCCGCCGCGCGCCGCTCTGCGCGCCCCCTCGGCCGGCCGGAGCCGCCTCAGCGCTGCTCCATGCCCCGGCGCCGCTCGTGCCGCAGCCGCCGCCGCCCGGCCGCATCCCCTGCTCCGCTCCCGGCGGCTCCCGGCAACGCCGGAACTCGGCGCCTGGCAACCGCCAAACCGGCCCGGCGGGAAACAGCCGCCCCCGAGCACCGGCGTTCCCCCGCCTCGGCCGGCGGGGGGCGAGATCCCGCGAGGCACCGCCGCCCCGCCTCCAGGGCGGGCGCGAGAGGCCGGATGGGCGGGCGCCCCCTGCCGGGCGGAGAGCGGCCATGGCGGCGGCGGCTCAGGTAGGGCTGGGGCGGTCACGGAGGCCCGGCGGAGCGGCCCTTGCGCGGGTCATGCGCTGCCCCTCCATGGCCCGCACTGTGCGGGGCGGCCTCGCTCTCCCGGGGCTCCTCGTGCCCACGGGCCTGGTTCCGGGCACCGGGGCCGCTTCTTGTTCTGGTGCAGTCTGCCGAGGCGTGAGGAACGGCATCGGGCCTCCTGATGGGAACGGTGGGGGGGCTCTGCCTCCAGAATCGCACCTCAGAAGCCGATACCAGGGCTTAAGAACAGGATTGCTCTGATCGTTAAAGCTGTACCTGCTTCACCCCCCGGTGCCCTGCGGGTTCACCCCACTGACAGCCCACATTCTGGGTGTAGTTTACCCACTGAAGAGTGTCCGGGCACACACTGTATACTGTCATGAATTAAGTAGCCAAGATGATTCAAATCCCAGTGTTGTGATTCATATATATATAAAATACAACTGTATACAACTAATATTATTAACTATATATATTTATTATAACTAATGAATAGCTCTTGTGCAGAATCAATGGCATCAGTCAGCTTCTCTTCATGCTTTATGTCCTATTTCCTTCCTCAGTTCCTGGCTGCCCCAGGCAGTTGCATCCCGAGGGAGTCACTGGCAGAGTTCGGTGCTGGCATTCAGGGCGTCTCTCCCCATGAGGTGAGCAGCTTCCATGGAGTTATATGGAGGTGATTTCATCCATAGGGAAATGCAGATTTCTTAAAGTCCAAATTAACTTTTAACTGTAGGTGTCTGCTTTTCAGTCACCGTATGTGACACTTGTTGAGGACTGTCGGCCTCCTGAGAATTTAATGGTAACCTGTGCAACTACCACTTGATGCATGTGTGTATTTGCTTCCTCAGCCACGGAACATGGTTTGAGACACTCAGATTTATGCTGTGCTCCTCTGAGCACCAATGCAAATGAAAGCCTTGAACAGAAAACGCTGAACTATGAAGTGTTACACTGGACCGCCTGCATTTATGTAAGGCTACATTTTGGTATCTGTTTTATTTTGATGCAACTAGACTTAAAATACTCATGCTGCTGTTTGGTACCATCAGAGAGGCTTTTTCACACCACAGCAGCTGTTTGTTCAGTCTGCAAGGCAGGAGTGATACCCCACCACAGGCCCACTGTGAGGGTTTAGTCTGTGTTTGGGGAATGTGCTGCATGTTACCTTGGGAATACTGGATCTGCATGAGGAAGTACAACAGCAGAGTAACATCTGCAGCCTGAATTTGGTTCCAAGTGTGGAAATTTTAGAAGGATGTGTGAAACCACTCACCCTCCTCTTTAATGCGGGACGACAGGAATACTTGCAGATAAACCTGTTACCCACTCTGCTGCACCTGAACAACAATTCAGTTCAATTTTTGTGGCACTTCCTCACGTCATTCTGATGTTAAGCACAAAGTTGAAGGTTGCTTTTCTCAGGTAGGCACAGTGCTCCCTGCAGCAAATCTCACAGGACATGCTCCTATCACCTGGAAAACTGCATTACTTGAATAAAGCTCATGGCAGGAACCTCATTGGAGAGCAAATTAAGCAATAGGAAGGAACAGTACTTAGAAAAGCAAAGTGGAGGTGAAGGCTGCTGGTTTGTAATTCAATGACAAAATACCTGCTTTCTTTGACACCCATTTTTTCCCTTGCAGAGCGCAACCAAAGAAGAAGAAGAAGGTAGATGTGAAGAGAGAGCAAGCACAGAAGGATCGTATGAAAAAGAGGATTAAAAAGTTGGAAAAAACTGCCCCCGAATTGATTCCAATTGAGGATTTTATAACACCAGTGAAGTACTCGGATAGCAACAGGTCAGTCTTTCACTGTGTGCTTGCATGCATGGTAGAAACACTTATTCTGTCTCTGCAAAACAGGAACATAGCGCCAGCCTTGGGACAAAACCTTGTCCGCTTCCACCAAGACAAAAACATGGAAAATAAGTTTTATCTGCTTCCACTGCTAGAAGTATTGGAAATAAAACAATAACATGAATTTCCTGTTTGACCAACTAGAAAACCTCAGGGACAGACGCTGTATGAAGGGAACGTACTCTCCGGGTTTGGTGGGGTTTTTTGGTGGTTTGTTGTTTGCCCTGATTTGCTCTTTGGGGTGCAGGCTATTTTTATGACAGTGTTGTTTTACTTTGCATCAGGGTGCGAAGTCTTCCTGACCTGTCACCTGAGGAGACTGAAAGAAGAGTTTTACTTCTGAAAAAGTGGTGTTTGTTTAAGCAGAAACAAGATAACGCAGAAAAGAAAGCAATTCGGAGCATGGTAGAAGCTCAGCAAGAGGCACTAAAGGAACTGCGCCTTGAGTCGGAGGAGTTGTATCAAGCAGCAATCAGGCGAGATGAGGGGCTTTTCCCCTTTGAGAGAGATGGACCCAGTTACACCCCACCGCTCCCTGGCTACGATCCTCCTGAAGGAAAATGCATTGATATCACCAAAGTGTATACGCAGTGATGGAGGAGTTTGTAGCTCATCTGGCATGAGCTACTCAGCTGATGCAGGAGGAAAGAATGGAGCAAGGATGAACTACTCCTGTAGGTTAAAATACCGTAGGTGTGAGACTGCAAAAAATACGTATTAATGAAGTACCTGTTTGGTTGGGTTTTTTTAAACAGCGATCTCAGTAGTAAGATGCCCAAAGAGCTACACTGCCTTATACTTGTGTCATGCTGCAACAAGACAAACGGTATTTCACAGTGCTTTATCTTTCTGGGCTTCTCTCATCCCTCCATGCAGCATTTCTTTGTTCTGCATAAACCATTACTTGGAAGATTCCCATGCTACACGTAAAGAATGTCACAGTCATCATATTAGGATCTGTACTAGAAGGGAGTTAACAGCTGATTGTTTACTGCCTTTCTTTTCAGACCTCGGTGAAATACTTTTGCATTTAAGAGGGAAAGCACAGTGACAAAGTCAAAAGTGAGGTGGTTTTGTTTTCTCTTTAATATTGCCATATAACAATTAAGTTTCTAAGGGCTTGCCCTAAACCAAAACAGATTTCTCTCCATCCATTTAAACCTTCATTTTTGTAGTAAGCTTGAGTACTGCAGTCAACACACACCCATTAGAGAGCAATTCCACAAAGGGGCAGGGTCGCAGTTTCACCCCACTGGTTAAGAAACTCAACCCATAACGGTCACAAACCCAGGAAGGATCCTTCAGATGCCAGTGGCTGTGTTTGTCCTGAACTGGCAGGGAGGAGCCCCTGCTTGGTTTTATTTGCCCACCTGGCACCTTGTTCCACAAGTGCACAACACTGGCTGTGAGGGGAAGAGGTGCTGGCCTAGCAAGAGGAGCTAGATCATGTATGCAGTGACATAGGAGTTGCCTGCCAAGGTGCCGAGATGAAAACCTAGAGCATGAGACAGCAGTAAGAGACCAAAATGAAATCTAACACCTCAGTTCCCCCTTAGAGGGTGTTTAAGTGAACTGTGGTTTTGAATGAGCACTGAACTATTGCCAGGGCAGAGCTAGTTACATCATTTCAACATGACATGGAAGAAAATGAAAATACCCAGCATAGTTGTGCATTGTGTATTGCATTACTGACCAAACACAGCAAAGCAGTCTTGCTAATTTGGTTTGTCTTGGTCAAGTGGCAGATACCAGTCAGGGGGTGGGTTCTTCCTGAGTGTCCACACTGGAGCATACTTCTGGTTTTCCATGACTCGAGCTCTTTCACTCTTGCACAAAGCTTCCTGAAGTACAAGACAAAAACATTACTGCTACAGTGGTGGATGTTCCAGTATCACACAGCTCATTTCTTGCTGTGACTGAGATAAAACAAGGACCTGAAATTTATCATACTTAAACAGAAGTGCCAAATACTATCTAAGCAGGCCAGGATACAAACTTTTAACTACATCACATTTACCTTTTTGCCTCCGACTCCTCCATCACGAATAAAACCGCCAGTTATGTGCTACCATCCCTGCCAGTTCGATGGAGCTGAAAGGCTGAGCTATGCTGCAGCCTGTCTGGAGGGCTCCTGTCCCCAGTGTTCATGGGGCTGTAGCCAGGAGCGTTTCTGCATGCCCCAGGAATACTTTTTGCCCGTAACAAGGCAACTTCCGTTATTAGGGAGGGAACGCTGGAGTAACCGAAATCAAGAACTTTTACAGAACTCTGACACCGCTCCCGCGGGATCGGCCCGCCCTGCCGCCCCCAGCCCCCGCCGCCCCGCTGCCGGCCCGCCCTGCCGCCCCCAGCCCCCGCCGCCCCGCTCACCCTCCAGGTCCCGCCGTCCGCCATACTGCCCCTACCCGGCCACCAATCCCCGCCGCGCTTTGCACGGAGATCCTCGAATCCGGCCAATGGCGACGGGCGACAAAACCCGGCAACCCCTTCTCCCCGCCCCAAGGGCCTGCGAGCCAATGGCTGGCCGCTGGGCAGGGCTCCCGGCACGCCACATGACCCCCGCTCCCCGCTCGCTGTCCCGGGAATCAGCACACGGGACGCACGGTGGTCACCGGACAACCTTTACTCGCCCCCCCTCCGGGCGGAGCGCACGGCCTGCACCCGGCTCAGGAGCGACACGCAGCCGCCGAAAGGCTGCCCGGGGCATGCCGGCATTACCCAGCACCAGGCAGCAAAGCTGGGTCTCGCCGCTCGCTACATGTGCTGCAAGACTGCTACAGTACGTTATTTATCTGAGCTATCAAAAAGGCATGTTATTAATTATAAATATAAAAAGCAGTTACAGGGAGATTGCTTAGAATGATTTATAACCCAACACCTGAAGCTAAGATCAAAGAGTCCCTGCACAAAAGTCCTAAACACCAAAGTATCTGCTTTGGTTTACACCACACCAAAAAGCTTACCCGAAATTGTGGCAAAATACATACAGAGGGAGGAAAATACCAAGCACAGAGCGACGTGAGACCATCACTGCTCGGGATGTAAAAGGGGAGGATACAGTCTAAGAACAGGCCTTCTAGTAAGGTACAGCTTGGTTTTACCTCTCAGGTTTATCCGAGGTCAACTTCTCCCTCTTTACAACACGCACAAAACATTTCTTCAGAATTCCTAGAACTTACTTTCAACTTAATTTCCAACTGAAAATTAAGACAGTCCAACAACTCCAGTTTTAAACATGAAACCAGTAAAAGCGTTCCTGTGTGCAAACTGACCTCTCCTCTCAACTGCAGTAACTAAGATCCAATATGCTGCAATTGTTTTATTTTCCTCCTAACTGACTAAAGGTACCACGACTTAGGGTTTTCTTCCCTTTTTGCGCAGGGACTGGCCTTCTCCTGAAAAGGCAATAAACCGGCTTCCAGATTCATCCTGGAAAAAGAGAGGAGGGAAAAAGGTTGTTACCTCTTTGGTCACTGCTTGTGCATGATATAAGCTGAACAATCATTAGAGAGAACATTTCCTCAGAGCAGCAACTGACTGTTGACGTTTCACATCCTTAATCCACTTAATAACCACTTTCTACCTCAAAATACAAGCATTTCAGGGACCTTTCAGCCAATAAAACTGGCCTGACTTATTAAAGTTATATCAGGTCAATCTTTTTACATCAGTAAGCAAGGATATTGGAGGTTGCTTTCACTTAACTCAAACCACTTTTTAAGAGGAATGTGCAATGAAGAATCAGGTACGGAGAGAGGAACCACAAACTTGGGCAGCAGTTCTGGTGTTCTAGTTCTGTGCAAATTCGGAAAGATACAACTTGACTTACCTCTTCGACTTTCTTAACTAGCGGACGTGAGTTTCTAATGAATGTGATCCTACCAATCTTGAAGTCATAGTTGGGAATTCCTCTGGAAAAGAAGCATAAAAATGTTATGGAAGAAGTTTTTTACCTTCCATCCAACAGAACACAGTGAGACCTATTCTATATCTTTCAATACCGTACCAACACTGCTGCAAATTTTCATTACTAAGTAATCCTAGAGTTAAACCACTGAATTACTTCCTGAAGGCAGGCACACATTGCTTGAAGTAAATGATCAGATACTGGAGCTGCTGTAGCAGCTTGGCTGTGGGCATGTTTCCATGTGGCCTGTGGTTTCCAAAGGGCCACAGACATGTTTTCCACAAGGGTTCAGGTTTCATTGTGACAAGTGTAAGTGACAGAACACCACAGAAACCATGTACCTGCACACTTCCACCAAGTCCGAATTTCTAAATGTCCTTGTAGGAAGTAAGACACACACAAAATCCCGCCCCACAACAAATGCACACATGGTTTGGCTTTGGTTCTCAAAGAAGATTCCACTCTGCCACATTTCACGTGAGTACATCAGCAGGGCTCTGTGCATCACTCGATCCAGCCCAGTCCAGACCTGCTGCCTCTCCCTGTTTGTTTTCCATGTAACCTGAGGTTTAGTAACATTAATTTAGGATCTGCATCTTAAGTGGTCGGGGACCTCACAGTCAGTCTAAAATATTAGATTATTTTCTAAATGCAAACTTAGGATGAAAATAGCTTGTTTACATTGCAGGAGCAGGAAATAAAATAAACTCCACTCAAAAAGTGATCCCAGACATACCTTCGAATGTCTCCTGGTTTAATCGGTGATGGACTGGGCTCAACTCCTTTCTTCTTGCCATCCAGCCTGTTCCCAGAACCAGAAAATGCCTGCATATACAGAATGAGTTTTAATTTAACCGTATCTTATATTTGAACGCTGCACAGGGATACTGCATTTGGCAAAATCTTACTATAACTTTTATTGAATTACTTGTTTTCGGCATGTTTCTTCTTGGTATATGTAAGCTGATGGACTGTGGGTGGAGGAGTATGTTTCAGTCTCCCATTCAAAAATCACCATTTAAGGACAGGAAGTCATACTGTTACTGGCTGTAACACCCGCAGATAGTTGCCAATTAAATGATAAGCACCTCTAAGAACAGGTACTACTGTTTTGCAGTTGTTTGGAACAACTTTCCCTCGCCATTCTACAACATTCATAAACTAGCAGAAACAGGGGACTTACACGAAATCCTACGTCACTCACGTATCCACTGTGGTCTGCTTCAACATCCTGCGAGGGAAGAGCAAGTTAGTTCATTGTTCATGTTGTGATATGCAGAATACGCAAAAACAGTTCCACGTATTTCTGACCAAATATAACTTCACAACAATCCCTTTCCAAAACAACACTTAGTAGACAACCATCTCCTAAGTAACACAAGCAAAAGCATCTAGTAAGTAAAGCTTAGTCTTAATTTTTTCAGGAAGAAAAAATATGTTGCTGCCCCCTGCCCCATCACAAGCAGTGTTGACTTCTAGGGAATACATTTTTGAAGAACAGAAGCTTAACCTACTGTGGTCTCTTCATGCTGTGCAGTTCTTTCTGGTTCTTTGTACCCCAAAGGAGCATCAAAATCCACCTATTTACACAAGAAGCAAGAAAATAAGCATGACTCGTATTTTTCTTTTAAGCATAATCTTTATACTGCTATCCCTCAAAATCCCACAAACTATCACTCAATTTGATCTAGAAAGAACTGAGGTTTGTTTGCCCAGCATTCTAGCTCAGAACTAAAAAGACTAAGCCTCTTAGGAACAGGTCTTAGCATGTACTTGAAACAGTGCAGTGACACAGCACCACACAATATCATCGGAGTTTGAATCAAGACAAGGCTATTAAATAAAACTCGGATTATAAAACACATTGAAGCTAAACATTAAATTCTAGGCACTACAGTCACCTGATGGTACACGAAGCGCAGCTCCAGACCACAGCTGTGGTTACAAAGATATATGGGGTACTGTCAAATGAGTCATCTTCCCTGTCTCATCTGATTTTTATCTTTCCTGCAGCATCAGAGGTGCTCAGTGTACAGTGCTA